CTCAGTTTATTGATAGGCTCTTTTCCATTTTGATGAAGATGCTCGTGGATGTTGAGGACGATCCTGCTTGGCACAGTGCACAAACTGAGGATGAAGATGCCGGGGAGACAAGTAATTACAGTGTTGGGCAGGAGTGTTTGGATAGGCTAGCAATTGCCCTTGGAGGGAACACAATTGTCCCAGTGGCTTCGGTGCAGTTGCAAGCTTATTTGGGGGCACCAGATTGGCAAAAGCATCATGCAGCTCTCATTGCCCTTGCACAAATTGCAGAGGGTTGTTCAAAGGTATAAATAATGCTTAAGTTTCTACTCAAAGCCCATTTTATTTGTTTATTGAATTTGTTGACATTGAATAAATATTATGTAACAATATATACTTTATGTTCATGCCAGGCCATACACACTCCTACAATTGTACCTGTCTGTATTTGTTCTACATGTATTAGGTTATTAAAAACTCTGTTTTCTCATTTTGGTAATATAATATGGATGACAATGATCATTTGGTAGTCGGTAGATGTTGAACTTTGTTTGGATGACGATGAGCATTAAGTTTGATGGATTAACTTTATGTTCGTTTTTGTATTTTGTTTTTCTGTATAGGTGGTCATATGTGAATATGTACATTGTAATATCACTTATCCAGAAAATGTATGATGCAACAGTAATGTGATATGGATTTAAATTTCGTTGTAATGTCTTACTCTGTCACCTGCTAATGTCTATTATGGCCACATTTTTTAATCTTGAAACTCTTTATGCTAAAGTGCTAACTAATTTATGATGCCTATTGGGTTGATGTTTTCTCTTAATTAACTTCATTTTTTTCCCTTCTGTATTGTGGGATGGTGTTGGTCAAAATAAATGTGGTGGGATTCTGTTGGAGTTTGTGACAATAATGTGGAATGTTGTTAGCTTTGGTTAAAGTGATGTCATGGGATTCTGTTGATTCATGGTATATTTGTCAAAGCTTCTCACAATTTACTTGTTATAGGTGATGGTTAAGAATTTGGAGCAAATAGTGAGCATGGTTTTGAATTCCTTTAAAACTCCTCATCCTCGCGTTAGATGGGCTGCAATTAATGCAATTGGTCAGCTATCAACTGATTTGGGCCCGGATTTGCAAGTCCAGTACCATCAGCATGTGCTGCCGGCTCTAGCTTCAGCTATGGATGATTTCCAAAATCCAAGAGTACAGGTTTGTAGATAAATACTTGACGAATTGACGTGAGTGTATTTTTGACTTTGTCTTGTATTTCGTTCTTCCTTGAATGTGAATTTGCTTCATGGCAAGTATGAAGCAGTTTCTATAGTGATCTTTATATTACCTCGTGTTCTTAAGAGTTTTTGTGCATTGTTTGAATGTAAAGGAACATAAGATTTTGGCTTTCTGTTCTAAACCCTATAATAATAGTCTAAATGTAAATTTCTCTGCTAGTATATTCTATAAAAATTTTATTACTGGCAGTGGTGAAAGAAGGTGCCTTTGAATCTGTCATCATTTTATTTGAGACTGATGTTCTCACCTGTTGTGTCTTGATACATTAACCTGCCGATAGACGATAGTGCTGGAAATGCAACTGAAAGAAGTTAGTATTTAACGAGAAGTACTTCGTGTTCGGTTACAAAAGAATTCAGGAAAAATTCCTCATTTCCATTCTTTATCAGTGAACTTTACCTATGTGAACCTGTTAGTAGGTTTGGTTTGTTGAATGCGAATGAGTGGTTGGTACATTTTAGCTTTGCTTGCATTTGTTATGAAGAAAAGAAAGACTTATAATGTTCTTATATTAATTGTCTGCATACTTTTCTTTCAGTTATTTTGAAAGACATCGTATAATTGGAAAGAGTAATGTAATCGCAAAAATTTTTAGAGATAAATTACAATTTCCGAAGACTAAAGACATCTTGATTATCTGTTTATACATATTAAATGCATACAGAAATAGGTATCTTTTATGTGTTATTGTATTCACTTTAGGTTCATTTTTTATTTGATTGTGATAAAGTGCTTTATTTAAAATGGGACAAAAATAGACTGTTTGGCGCGATCCAAATACTAGTTGCTGCGAACAAACTTGACTGATTTGCACCTTACTGCCTAATTACTACATATTGGCTTTCCTTTTCCCCTTACAGGGACAGAAGTATTGTTTTCTTTTCGTTATTGCACTTTAAATCTTATTTCAACAAATAGTATTTGCATCCGACCCTCTGGCGGAAGAAAATTAGCTAGGATGATGTGATGAGATTATTAAAGTGACCGAAGTATCAAATAATTCGTTTGTGTTCATATATGCTATTGGCGTAAATTGATCGTCTCAGCGTCAAACAGAAGGAAATTTTTGCTTTGTAGTTGGCTGATGCAACCCTTATGCAATTTGAAGTTTATTATATCATTGTTGGTCTTTTATTTTATGTGCATTCTTGTCCATTTCTTTTGGCATGATATAACTGATTCTCGTGATTGCTTCCTTTATAACTACCTTTGATTTTGTTATTCTTGTGTAATTTGTACAAATTCTTTCAATCCAGATTCAAAATTTAAATATTTTGATTTATTTGTCAAAAAAAATATGCATATATGTAATTTTCTTTTCTTATTAAAACTTTCGGTGGGCCATATTGAAGAGAAGTACCTGCTCTAGGACCGAAGACATTGCATTCTTTTATTTGATATACTATTTGTAAAGGAAATAATATTAAGGCTATCTCGTAAGAAAGTGAAAGTCATTTTGAATTAAAATGAATGGACCTTTTTATTTCTTACTTCTTTTGGAAGAGGTTGAAAGCATATTGTTCAAAATTAAAGAATTAGGACTGCACCATGTGCTAATCATCTTTTTCTGGCTTTTGGCAGTTCCCGCTAGCTGTTCTTTAAACTAGAATATTGTCTAACATAACTCTGTTAAACTTTGATTCCTGTTAATTAATGCTGATATCAATGAACATTTATCTGATTGTCGTCGTCTGGTAGGAATAACATAGCAGTGGTTTCTTGGGGTCATTTTTGAGTTGTTGCTGTTTTGCAGGCACATGCTGCCTCAGCCGTGCTTAATTTCAGTGAAAATTGTACCCCAGAAATTTTAACACCTTACTTAGGTGGAATAGTGCACAAGTTGCTTCTACTTCTGCAGGTACAACTGGGGAAGAAAATAAAATATATGTATAACTATATGGAAGTTCATGCCTATGTGTTAAGAGCATACACCATGTTTCTCTAATAAAATGCTTTTGTTGTATGAATTGCAGAACTCCAAACAAATGGTGCAAGAGGGGGCCTTAACTGCTTTAGCTTCAGTTGCTGATTCATCTCAGGTACACGATTCTGTAATTATCGTTCAAGTGTTAATTTATTTTGCCTTGCTTTTATACTAAGTCTGTTAACTGTATTGACAGGAGCATTTCCAGAAATACTATGATGTGGTTATGCCGTACTTGAAAGCTATCTTGATAAATGCTACCGACAAGTCCAACCGGATGCTTCGTGCCAAAGCCATGGAATGTATTAGCTTAGTTGGGATGGCAGTTGGAAAGGAGAAATTTAAGGAGGATGCTAAGCAGGTAAATAACAATAGACTTAGTTTTGGCTTCATTTCTAATCGCTCAGTGATAAAGGAGGTAGGGGTGCAGAGATAGCTAGGAGGAATTTAATATATTGCTTCTTAGTATGTGGTAATTAATTGGTTATTTTGTTCAGTTCTTTTAGTTCTTACCTCAATGGCTTAATCCTTTATTCTTTATAAACACCACATTTTTTTTTTGTGGCCCAATTCATTTTGACCTAAATAATTGGTCAAACTTAGCTGACCGTTGCTTCTCTCTATCGTCATTATGAAATTATCTCTCAATTTTCTTCTCATGCAAGGTCATGGAAGTGCTTATGTCATTGCAAGGATCTCAAATGGAGACAGACGATCCAACTACAAGTTATATGCTACAAGTATGCCTCCATCCATGGAAGCTGAAGATTCGGAATTTCTATTATATGTTTGCACATTCTAAACTCTTCCAATAATACTTCTTAATCTATTATAGGCGTGGGCCAGGCTATGCAAGTGCTTGGGACAGGATTTTCTTCCTTATCTGAGTGTGGTCATGCCTCCTTTGCTTCAGTCTGCTCAGCTGAAACCTGACGTGATTATAACATCTGCCGACTCAGACAATGAAATTGATGAATCAGACGATGAGAGGTCGTCTTTATTTTTAAAATGAATATTCTTATTTATCCGTGAATGTTCTTTTCGCTTTGCTATGTGGCAGCAGTTCTTTTTTGCTTTGTGTGTTATAATTAGGGATGGCAACGGGGCGGGTATGGGACTGGTCGGCCATTCCCACCCCGCCCCGTCGGATATTTTTGTTATTTTAACTCCATACCCATACCCGATTAAAACGGAACGAGACGGGTTTAGGGCTGGGCGGGTCCCCTGCCCCACTTATAGCCCCATTTATTTTTTCTTTTTATTTTTTATTTATTTTAGTTTTTGCTTTTATTTTATTTCATGTCTTTAAACATGATGATAAATCTATTATTTTTGTCTGATAAAAACTTAAATTTGAAATTAACATTAAATGGGGTGGGGACTATATTTTCCTACCCGTCCCATACCCGCTTCGGGGCAATGACCCTTGTCCCGTACCCGCCCCATGTACTCGGTTAGGCGGGTAATCCCCGCCCCATTCGGGGCAGGACCCCACAGGTATATGGTTGAACGGGTTTTTTGTCATTTCTAGTTGCAGTGTTTATACAATTGTTAATATTAAGTTAGAGCTTCCCTTTGAGACCTGGTAAGGTATCCTTTTGATCTGTAGCGCAAAATGATTACACTTCTGTTCTTCTCTGTGGTAGTTAAAATGTAGTGTTCTTGGTTCCTTTGCCTTTTTCAGTTTACCCATTTTGCTATAACTTGCACTAGTATTGGAATGAGCTCTGCTTTAGAACAATGATTAGAAATTTAACTGGTCTAATTACTAAAGATGTTATCATTATTATGCCTTCATTACCTTCCTTGTTGTCACAATTCCAACGTCTATGGTTTACTATCATCTATTAGCAACATTTTAGGAACACTTCACACTTTAACGAACTTCCTTAACATTACTTCTAGAAGACCTTCATATGCTCCTGACATTTTTCCTTGTTCCTATAGTATATCAAAAACAGTAAACTGCTAGAGTAATGTATATACCCTTGTTTTTCAATAATTTGAAAAAATTCAATCATCTAAATTTTTTAAAGAAGTGATAGAAGCTATTATTTCTTTTATAATATTGGGTATACAAGTGTATGTTCAATATTTTATAGGATATAAGCTGCAAAATGAAAGGGTATGAGGATCCATAAGCATGTATTCTTTGTTTAACTTACTGTATGTTCATTTTTGGTTTTGAATGCAATTCTACCACACTTTCCTATCTGTCTTTTCTAATCGAATGGACATTATGAAAGGAAATAGTTGACCACTTTTTTAATCCTTTCCACCTATTGGTATTTAACAATTATAAATACTGCAGTATGGAGACCATTACCCTTGGGGATAAAAGAATTGGGATCAAGACTAGCGTCCTAGAGGAAAAAGCCACAGCTTGCAATATGCTATGCTGCTATGCTGATGAGTTGAAAGAAGGTTTCTACCCATGGATTGATCAGGTTGGTGAAGATACATTGGTTTATGCCTTCCGACTTTGACGATTAATAAGAATTTGAGGTTTTATTCGTTATTATCTGATCCAGGTTGCCCCAACATTGGTTCCACTTTTGAAATTTTATTTCCACGAGGAAGTCAGGAAAGCTGCTGTTTCAGGTTATATAAGTTTCATTTAGACAATTTTCCTTGTTTACATATTGATAGTTGCTATTACATGCTCTGAAACGTTGATGTTTTTCAGCAATGCCCGAGCTATTGCGTTCTGCAAAATTAGCTGTAGAGAAAGGGATGGCTCAGGGCCGTAATGAGACATATGTTAAGCAGTTGTCTGACTACATAATGCCTGCTTTAATAGAAGCTTTGCACAAGGTGGCGTTTACCTGTATTTAAAGAAGAAATGGCATCTGCAAAGCTTTATTCTCGATATTACT